TTAAGGAAGCTTTTGCATCTCTGACTATTCAGGTTAGGCAGTGTCAGTATCAAGTTCCTGAATTTATAGAGGCTAAAATTCTTAGTCTAATTTTACTTTGCTATTGTACAGTAAAATCCACTGTTGATTTGTCTTCTGATAGTAAAGGCAATAAAGCTTCTATGTGATCTGTGAAGGAAGAATGACTAAATGCATTGCATACTTTTTAATCAGTAAATATGATAGTCATCATATAAATCTTACATTATTATTTGGGCTTACACCTGTACCACAAATCAAAAAAAGAAGAAATAAAAAGATTACTCATTTTCCTGTAGAGCTACTGGACTTCTGTTGGCAGTTCTGAATGTGTGCGATAGATTTATATAGTTCAAAACAAGAGATTTTAGGAGTGGCATAAAAAACAAGCCTCTGACTGGAATTTTGGGATATAAACTAGTGGTATTGGAGAGAGGTCTTGGTGGGTTTGGAGAGAGGTCTTGATGGGTTTGGGGTTTTTTTGTTTTTGGGTTTTTTTTTGTGGTTTGTTTTTGTCTTTTTTTTTTTTTTTTTTTTTTTTTTGATTTAACCTTCTTTTTTTTTTTTTTTTTTTTTAAGGTAATTAATACTTGTGCTTTTTTTCATTGTAACCCCTTCAGTTGTCACAGAACATAATTCTGGATAAGATCCTACCAGAGTCCAAATGACTTAAAACTGCTTCTCTTGGGAGTGCTTTCAAGTGATGGTTTTAGAAAACTAGTTGATGAGAAGATGGTTTTGAAATCTAGGGTTATCAGAGTCCTCCATATCGTTGTGGTTTCAATTCTATAAAATATCAAACTGGGGGGGGGGGGGGGGGTAGTTTAAACAAAATGGAAGTAGTATCAATTCAACAATTCAACAAAATAGTCAATCACAAAGACACTGGTATAGGAAGTAGGAGGAAACCTTGCTGTTAAACTCAAGTAGAACTGCATTCTTAGCCTTCTTAAAGGCTTTTAGGATACTCTGATCCATTTAGCAGAAAAATACATTGTACTATGCCTGTTGTTATAGACTGAGGCCTTATTCTGAGTAGCAAATTGATTAACTTTCCTGGTATTGCTATTATTATTGTTGTTGTTTTGTTTGGATAATATTTTTTATTTTCTTTTGTGACTAAGCATCTGGTGCTGACAGTGACTTTGAATAAGAATGGGTTTAGTTTATGTGTGTTGTATTAACTGTGAAAGAAACCTTTTCCCAATAGTCACAGACAAGCTGTAAGGTGCATCAAACACTCAATGAAGGAATGTTCTATTTGTCTCCTACTTGGAATAATTACTTAATAAGAATGTAATGTATCTGAATTTGAGTTTAATCTGCTGTATCTGCTCAAGGAACTTAGCTAAAATCTGCTGTGAAAGGTAACAAGCTGTATTCAGCTGTAGTTGCTGCATATTCAGTCCTATCTAACAATTTCCAGCCATAAGTCTCAGCACAGCCCCTTTGAATAGGGCATTATGATTTTAGCTAATGAACTTAACAATATTCCTTGGTCCCAGAAACTTTTCAAAATGATGATTCTTTGATATTTTAGTGGGGAAACCATTGTGGGAGATCTTGTAGTGTAGCATTTATAATCTTGCAAAGACTAAGATGTATCACTGCTCTGAGCATCAGAGTATTAATTCATGCTTCAGTGTCTGTCTTATGTAAAATATTGATATTATTTAGTTTAATAAATGCAAACCAGTGTAATATTTTTCCATTAATAAAGAGGGAGATAGCACACCCATATATCATGCAATAGAGTCAGCTTAAGGTGTTAATTTTCAACACCAGGTATTGTTCTATATGTCAGTTCCCTGTAAAGAAAAGACAACAAATAAATCTTCAAAAGACTTAGTTACAAGTCATTCATTTTCAAGTGTTACTTTTGTGTAGACCACATTTAGGAAAAGGATCACATTTCCACAAAACAAAAGTGTTACATTTTGGAGAAGACAGAGGTCATGTTTCAGGGTCAGACATGTATCTAATTTTAAGAGGTTCTGTGTTAAGGAAATTCAAGCAGGAGATAATGTCCATAGTCAGGCCATTACTTGGGGCTTTCTGTTGAAATGAGGTCACTCATAGATTCCTACATGTACCAAAGTTTTGGTTTGCCTTAGGAGTTTTATTCTTTTGCTGTTTATTGTAAAAAGAAACTGCCTTCTTTCAAATGCATATATATAATATTTCTGCTTGGTTGCTTAGCCTATTGGACTTATTGAAGTCTCTTGTGCAGCCCAGCCAGAGCAATTTGGGGGGAAAAAATGTTAATACTGTCACTTTCTATCATTTCTAAACCAATGAAATTAAAAATATCTCTAGTGCAGTATAATAATATAGGAAAAGCACTTAGTATTGCTTTTAGGGACATTTACTATTAAATAAAGCTTTTATTTTAATGTTTAAGAATATTATACTTTCCGTAAGTATTTCCAAATGGCCCATTGTGCTAAAAGAAAAGATTGTAGGGTATTTCCAGGATCAGAAATTTTTGTGTCTGTTGAAAAGCTAACAAAAGTGTAATTTTGATGGTATTTGAGAAATGTCTCAGACTGTGACCTGTGATACTTTGAAAGAAATTTTCATTAAATATTAAATGATGTTGCAGAGATATTTTAGAACTTGAAAAGGGTTTTTTATGGTTTTGTATGCTTCCTAGAATTGACCATATACCTGTTGTAAGCCACAGAAGTTATTTAGAATTAGCTAATAACGTCTGTATAGCTGTTAAATTCATCCACAGGCATTAAAACATCCTAACAGTGGGCACTCCAATTTTGCTGTTCTCACCTATTAAAAACGTCCATCTTGGAAAAGAATTATATAAATTATAAAATCCATTTCTGTTGTACTAGGTATCCAATATTTTGTATTCTTAAGTTGCTTTTACTCCCAGTGGGGCTGATGATGCTCACTTAGCCCTACCTAAATGAAATTTAAAAATAAACACTGCAACCATTAAATCAAAACATATTTCAGCTTTGGTCCTTGTGTCCAGCATACTGTATGCCCTTTCACATTTGCATCATCAGCAGGTTTCACAAAGCATCATTTCTTTTCCATCATCAGTCTTTCAATAAAATGTGAAGTATTATTCCAGCTGAAGAAAACCAAGGCCAGTCATTCTTCCTGAATGAAGCAAGATGTGAACTAATCCCTTTTTGAAACTTGCTTTCCATTCAAGTCTGCACGTACCTGATAGTAGATAATTTGTATCTAAATTAAGTCTTTCTAGATTGCTTCTCATAATACTCTCACAAGATGTTGCAAAAACCTTTCAAAGGCAAAGAAAGGACAAGATAGATGTTTTTCTTCCTTTTGCTTTGAAAGGACAGTTACCTAATTTCTTTAGTGATACTGAAAAAATATAGTATATTCTTGCTGTATCAGTGTAGGCTGTTAACTGCATGTGGCTCTTAATTGTATCTGCCTTAGATTCTAGCTGCATATAAGTGGTTTGCTTATGTTTTCCAGTATTTTTGTGGAAACTCCATTTAAGTTAATTGAGCTGTAGTTTCATAGTTGCTTCTTTTTGAGGAAGCTGCATGCAGGCACGAATTTGACTGTAGTAAATGTAGCTCACTGCATATAAACAGTCTGAAGTTAGTGCATATGGTTTCCATAACTTGCAAGTGGAAAGAGGAAAAGAGACTCTAGAGCCAGGACCTGAGAGAAATGGCTCTCTGAACAATTTTGAGTATGTGAGTGAGAATTAAGATTGTTCCATTTGCCCTGCTGCCTCTTGTGCAGTGGGAGAGATAGAGCTGCAGGAGTTAGGATGTTTCTGACAAGGTAGGATCAGAATTTTGGACAATTTTCTGGCCTGTCTATCTTACTGCTTTTGGCTGTGTGTATAGCCCCATAAATGTGGGGTTTGCTTCAATATATTGTCAGTGGTATGTATTAGAGCTCTACCAGTGATCTATGTTTAGTCAAGTTATTTTACCTTTGTCTACCCTTCTTGTCATTCACTGTTTTTCCTAGAGTTGACCAGTATGGCTTTGATTTTTAGGTGGCTTGCAACAATTGTGCTGGGGCTATGAACAGTTCTCAGTAATGTTAGGCTGCTGAGAAGATTCAGGGTTATCAAGATCCCTAGAAACATAAAGCAATGAACTAATAAGGGCTTCCTGTGTTTTTGCTCCTCGTATTCATCATATGCCCAGCAGCCCACAGCAGAGAGACCAATCCTGCCTGTGAAACAATGTATGTCCCTGTTCCTTGTTTTGCAGCTGAGATTATTGAGATTTTGTCTGTGAATTTTGGTCTATGACTATCAAAGCTATCAACTAAAAAGTTGATCTTCTCTGGCTTAAGCACTAAACAGTTTTCCAGTTACTTTTCTATTAATGAAATGCTCACTTAACACCATGAGGCCTGGCTGCTGTTCCAGTGCTCCAGATAAACAGGAGAGTCACAGACCAAAAAGATAACATGCTCAGTTGTTATAGCCTCAGGTATCTGATTCTGAAACTTACCCTCTTATAGGCTACTGTGAGACTTTTCCACAAGGGAAAGCGTTAATGTTATAATAGGTAAAAAATTAATAAATGCTGGTGGCTTAAAATTAAGATTGATCCCAGTTATATGGTGGCAGAGACAGGGAGCAGGTAACCATGTTACTGTGACATGCAGAGTTGTGACTTGCAAAATTTGTGTACAAGTGGAGAACTTGATGGCTTTTACTGACTAATAGAAAGCATTCTGATTGCACATTCAAACCAGAGCATTTTGCATGTATGTTTTCTTTATAAAATGGGAGAGAGTTGGCAGAAATCCTAACATTTTTTATGCTATTGAGAGAACTACTGATCAAAAGAGAATGGGCCTCCTGCATCTTTTTTTCTTTCTCAGAATCATAAAGATGAGTATTTCTAGTAGTCGCAATATTTTGCTATTAGTCATTTGTATCCTGTAGAATAATGTTTGTGTTTGCTACCATCTGTAACTGCTTAGCACATTATTTCTTCTCTTATCTTCATTTTTAGCTGTACATCCTTGACCCCTGGACCCAGCTGTGATCGTTTTAAACTACATATCCCTTATGCAGGAGAAACACTCAAATGTAAGTTAAAAAAATCTTGCAGTTGCATCTTGGCTTTTCTTTCAGTGTTCCATGTCTTGCTAATTTTCCAGTGTGCCTGTCTAACTTTATGAGTTTTGAGATACATGAGTTTGTTGTTTTCTCTTAAAGCTTCAGTTCCAAGAACACACAACTATTAGGAACATGCAATACTTAAGTTTAAAGGCTTCTGTGAGACTACAGTTTTTAAAAGTAAGTTCTAAAAGCCAAAAGTCACAACCTGGTATTTCTAATAAAATGTTATGACTAAGACAATCTCATCACCATTTTTAGATTAATTTATAAGTTGTATATGTTTTGTGTTGCTTCTTTCTGTCTCTTTTAGGAATAATTCTTTATTAAGTTCCAATAAAAAATGTTAGTCTGCTATTATATTAGGTATCTTTAAACAATGACTGGTATAATTAACCAGATTAGAGAAATGTGAATTTGATTTTTCTAATTTAGTGGTATTGTTAAATCATCTTTATGCTTAGAGAACCTGTAGACAGCTAGTTCATTTTCCCACTCTGTGTGCTCTGTTGGTCTTAGTTTGTGTTTTGTTTCAAAGGTATAAAATAAAATTTACTTTTGTATATTTTTAAAAGGTAGCATTTTCTAAACACTTGAACTCCTGAGAAATGGTTATGTTGTTTTTATCTCTAACAACTGAAAAATGAGAGAGGATGAAGAATTTCAGGTACAGTAAAATTCAAGTCTTGGCATTCATAGTTTTAGGACAACTCTAGTAAAGCCACGCCCTAGAGTATTATGTCCAGTTCTGGTCTGTGTGTTACCAGAGCAACATGGACATATTGCAATGAGTACAGCAAAAGACTACAAAGATGATCAAGAACTGTAGGATTTGTTGTATGAGGAGAGGCCAAAATAGCTGGGGCTTCTTAAGAGAAGAAGGCTCAGGGCAATTCTCACCAATGTTTATAAATACCTGATGAGGATAAATGAAGCAGCTGGCTCTTCTCAGTGGTGGTCACTTAAGGGAAATTGTCACAAATTGAAATGTAGAAAATTCCATTCAAACACAATAAAAACTATTTTGCAAGGGTGGTCAAAAAGTAGAACAGATTGTGCTCAGAGTGTATACAGTTTGTGTATCTCCATCCTTGGGGCTGTTCAGAACCCAGCTGGACATGACCCATAGCAATCTCTCCTGTTTGCCCTGCTCTGAGCTGAGGGCTTAGACTAGACAGTCTCCAGTGGTGCTGTCCAGCCCCAGCTGTCCTGTGAGTCTGTGAAAGTGTGCTGTCTGGAGGAGCAGGTACTTGGTGTGAACAGAAATGGTAAGCATTTGAAACACTGCTTTGATAGTATCCATTTAGGTGCACCATACACATGCTGTAGCTCTCCAAGACACTTCACATATTAAGAATTTGATTGTATTCCTTCTGCAGTTTTTTCTTTGGTTGTTTTTTTTACATTATGTCATGCACTGTAAGTCCTTCTTCTTTATGAACAGAAATCAACACAATTAAGGTCCTTCTATTCTAGAAGTTTGTTAAAGCTTCCATTTGGCACCTGTAAGGAAACTTGTCTTTCCCAGAAGTTGATGTGGAAGCTTAGTCAGGTGCTCAAGAGAGAAGCCAGACTCATATATCAGCCTACTACTGCTACTTTGACTTTTCTAAATATATGAAATTATGGCTCAAGAAGCTTACTAATTTTTTCTTCTCACACAGTAAAACTGAAAGCTAGTCATAGCTAGTAATTATTTTAAGACCAAAGAAGTGGTTCTGCATTTGTTCAGAAGTCTTGTGAGTAATGGCTGTATTGTATGAATCCAACTGCCCTTCCAGGAAGAACTTTTATTTTAAAAATTGTTAAAATGTGTAGTAAACTCAACCTGTTAAGTCTTGATTTGTTCTGCAATGTGTAGTAGATTGTAATTGAGTCTTGTTTGATGACTATGATCAAGTCAAAATATGTTTGACTTGAATGACATGCTTTATAGAGTGATATCATGTTCTGTGGGACCATCTTAGTTTATACAGGGATGTGTTTGTACATTCTGAGAGATATTAGTCTAATTCCAAGTAGAGGCTAAAGCTGTTCCTGATTCATAAAGGAAAATTGATGGACTAAAATGCCCATATGCAAGTGCACAGACATAAAGCGTATATTCTTGTATTAAATTACTGTACTCCAAGTAAAGTACCTAGAAATATGATTATGGAACATACATTAAATTTCAGTATCGAGAAATCTGGGTTTCTTTTCTCCAGTGTTCTTATATATTTTTTTATATCATATACATAATTAAACAAAAAAACCCTCAGAGCATGTCACATATTTTAACAAATACAACTGAAAATGGTGTAAACAAGTGTATCTTTTTCAGAGGTGTCTAATAATAGGTGTGAATTCAAATAATCCTCCACATTTCAGTGTTACATATTTGAAAATGCTGCGAATCATTAAGTCTCACAGCATGTGGAATAAATAGTAATGTGAGCAGATTCAAGAAAGCTTTAATAATTTTGTGTTTAGATCTGTAACAATGGCAGGGGAAGACAGCCATAGTGTGCAAACAGAGATGTTTAGATACTTTGTTGTAGGCTGTTGCTAGATATGTTATCTTTCAAGGGCAGAATATTTCTGCAAAGGAAAATTGCGAAATCTGCCAGAATAAAAAGACTGGCTGAAAGTGTTCAGGATCTTCAGTGTCCGGGCTTCAGATGTGGTACCAAATACAGGCTGAAGTGTGTAGTTCCTTTGTGGTTTGTGTTACATCCTCTTTGCAACAGATTAGGTCTTTGTGTATCATCAATCATAACCCCTGCCACTGCACAGGCACCCTTGTAGCAATCCCAGTGTGTTGGAAACTGTTGCTGTGCAGCTTTAGGGAAGTGTAACTGCACAGTGCAATCCTGTTTTCCAAAATACCAGAAAGTTCACAGCTTCTCAAAAAAGGAGAAAGTGTACTTGTAGGCAAGGCTAACTACCTGTAGTGTAAAACAATTGTTTTGTAAACTTTGGTAAGAGCAAACATGTTGTGACTTAAGAATGGCTTGTTGTGTGTGTAATGGGGATTTTTTAAGATCACATTCACCTTACTTTTGTATGTATGCAGAGCTGCTGCAATGTTACACTGAAGAGTTACTCAGCTCCAGCCAGGGACCTTGGAGGTACCCACAATTTTATACTGGAGAAAATACTATGCCAGTGTTCAGGATAAACTAGTTTGTTACACTGATTGTATTCCATCACGCTTCAAGTGATGCTTTCAGGGAGAAATTTCTATTTTATTTTCTTCTGTAAGGGAAGTATTTTTGTTTGTTTGTTTTCATGGTGGGAATATTCAAAAAACTTGAGCCTAGTCTTCCCTGACTGTCAGCTGAAATTCATCCAGTACTCAGTGTTGTCGCACTGAGCTCCATGGTTTTCTCGTATTTTAGTTTTTCAGAGTTCTTAATTGGAATTTTAATTTCATGAAGACTGTCTATAATACCCTGTAAGAGATTGAATCTGTGTTTCTAAAACAAAAGTTACTTTTTGTGGGAGGCAGAAGTATCCTTTATTGCTAACTGGACTACAGTATCTGCTCAGAAAAGTTAGTATCCTTTCTGATGAAGTTTTTGTGTATTTTGAGGTGAAGTGTTCTGTAACTCTTGCAGATATTTCAGTCTTGTTTTCAGAACTATAACTTTGTTATAAGCTGCAATAGTCTTTATAATTAAAACATGCCATTTGGAATCAAATGACAGTCTTTTTCCAGAAATCCTTGGAATATCTTGGGTTTGGTTTTTCTTTTTCACTCAAGCTTTCATTGCTGCTTGCTAGGGAATCTAGCTTTTTTTTTTTTTTTTTTTTTTTCTTTTCACTTTTTTTTTTTTAGGCACTGATGCCTCCTTCCCTCTCTGACCTTGAGTGCTGTCATCTGGAATTTCACAGTGATTAAACAATGTGTTGCCCTTGCAATGCTACTGTTCTCTGTGGCCTCTTGAACTCTAGTATTTTCATCTTCTGTCTGATTTTCACTGTATTTATGTGAGTGGATTATAGCTCAGGGTTCTGCTGCCACCATTTTGGTTTCCTTGATGCTGAAGAACATTTCCTTTGTCTCATTTGAAGCTTAGTTTTTCATTTTTTTGCTTCTGATTTTTGTTTGTTAGATTATTATTCTTTTTGATTATGGGCCTTAAAGGAGAAAATCAGTCTTGATGCCTAACCAGTCTAAGAATATTGCCCATAATACGTGGTAAAAAGTTTAATCTGTTTTTATTCTTGTGATGGAACTCTTTCAGTAATTTCATCCAGTCTTCTTGTGGATTTCTATTTTAAGGAAGTAATTAAGAACAAACAAAAAGATAAATATAGAGAACAGCCTGACATCCTTATTGCCCCTTTAAAGGCCACTTTTCCAAGTAATATACTAAACACTTGTTTATTGTGCCAATAAGCAATTGTAGAAATGATTTTTGAAGTTACTGTAAGATTTAAGATTCCCATAAGTATGTTGCTGCAATGCATGTGTTAATGTTTTTTGCACTATTAGGTTATTTTACACAGGCTGTATTTAGGTTGAGGCTCTTATGGGAAAGAACTTCCTGATTGCTGTAATTCAGATTATAGGTAGGTGTTATCCTTACCTATGTGATAAATGTCTTTGTTGGGTCATGCAACTTACCAAAGATTTTTCCAGGCAATATGTTTTCTGAAGTGTGCTTGAGTCTTGCTTTACATGGCAGGAGTAATAAATCTTTTTCTTTCAGTAACCTGTTTGTTATCTGATGAGTATACCTAATGAGAGTGTCAAGAGAGAGTCTAATGTTATATTTACTTCTTCTTTGAATACAAAGTTTACAACTGAATTTCGTCCTTTAAAATTATCACTTTCCTGTTACTTGGGTTTTTTGTTCGCTTTTTCTTATATTCTGGACTTCTCTTGAGCAAGTAAATTACAGAAGATTTTGCAGTTGTAAGTCCTAGTGTATTTCTTCATCAAGAGAAATTACCTTAGAAGTATCTATGTACAAGTATGGACT